TCCTGCTGCTTCCTCCCCCATGCAACTTCATTCTCCTCCTTGATTCTCCTTCATTCTCCTTCTGTCTCTGGAATCTGGCTCTGGATCCCCTTTCTCCTTCTCCTTCTGGGTTAGGACTTATACATAGGTGTGGTCACAATCAATAGGGATAGAGTTCTTTCCCTCTGGGAAAGCCGCTTCTAGGACAGATTATCATTTAGCAAGTCGACCCACCCTAAAGCAGAATCCCAGGGGTGTGTTTCTCCTCTCCTTGCCCAACAAACATATAAGCATTTATAATATAAATCATTTTGCATGGACACAGTAAGAAATACTTTTAAGTTTATAGAATTGCTCTCCTAGGGCCATCTCTGAACACTTACAGTGTTCAGGCCAGATAGTCTTTCCTATCCCTAGCAGGGTCATAGTCTCATCGTTACTTTTGGATCATGACAGAATTTGTCTATTTTTTTTTTGTTATAGTTAATTCTTATAGTTAAGAATTGTGGCACTTTGCCCTTGTCCATTTTTATGCCAGGGTAGCTCACAGCTTGCCCTGGGTCCATTTAGTCCTCTGTCAGGACCCTGCTTTGGGGTGTTAGGAACTAAGGGCAACAGAGGCTTAAGTCGAGAAAGCAGGTGCCAGGGAGTGAATAATATTCAAAGCCAATTAAATCCTAAATTACAAAGCATAATATTAACTGTCTTCCTGTATCCTGTATCCTGTATGAAAAAGGACATTGCTTTAAAGTAAACTATTCAAAAGACATAAGTAGAGGAGAAAGACAATATTAACTTACAATACAAGTTCAGTGTCCTAGTTCAGTGTCTTACAAATTAACTGATTCTGATTAGGGGAAAAGCTGATTAACTGGTTGGGGAGGAGAGCATAGAGAAGTGGTTACAAATAAAGAAAGGAATGGGAGTAATTTGGGGGCATTGTGATGGGTGTGACTCAATGAACCTAAGCTCCTTTGTGGCAAGGGGGAAAGGACAAACCAATGTTAGGCCTAAAATATTTGGAGCTAGATTCCAACAATTCCTAGCCAGGATGGGGGGTAACAACCATCTGAAGCGCTGGGGATGGAACCAGGGTCTGCAGCATCCAACCTGCACTCTCCTGCCTTCTCCCTCCTTGTTTATTTATTTATTTATTTATTTGGTTTGGGCTTTTCTTGTTTTCTTTTAGTCTTTTATACAGTACAGTTTTGCAATTGCAGTAAATGTGTTGGTACATGCCAAGTTTTTGTTTTTGTTTTCTCTGCATCTTTGTACATTAAAATTTTTTCCCTGATGACTGCTACCAACAGCCCTTTTAATGATCTTTAGAATTACTTACCCCAGGTCTGGTGTCCAAAGTTTTGTATTTGGGGCCATAGCGGTATTTCTGTATTTGGGCTGGAGCGATAGCACATTGGGTAGGGCATTTGCCTTGCACATGGCCGACCCAGGTTCAATTCCTCCCCCCTCTCAGAGAGCCCAGCAAGCTACCAAGAGTATAGTGCCCTCCAGCCATGGCTCTAGAGGCAAAAGGACTTAGTCCAGAGCCTGGCAGCTTGCAGCAGAAAAATGAATGGACCATGCATTAAACTATGGTGCCATGCCTCCCCGGGAAGGAAAGGGTGTTGCTCCCTTCTGCCTCCCCAACCCCCCAGCAGCAAGGTGGCTACCGCCTCAGAGCTTATAAGAAAACCAGGTAGGAGCCGGGGCAACTTCAGTCTCATGGGAGGGGGACAGTATCGGCTCGTCCTTCGCGCCCTACCGAGGTCACAAGTTGCCCCCACAAGTGGCTCTCCGGCACAGCCATAACACCAGATGCACAGAACCAATCTCGTAATTGTCTGGCTCTTTGCAGAAGTCTAAAATCACGAGGCCGCTATTGCAGTCACGCGAGATTATATGATTCTCATAACCAGCTATAGAAAACAAAGTATTTCACAATGACTTTTCAGCATTTCTGATTGTTGGGGGGAAAATTCTAAACAATAATGGTGCATCTTTTGTCAAAATAATGAATGTAATCTATGTAGAGAATAGTTAGGTGGAAATTATCTGCCTCACAGGCATTGGGAGGGATGGGAGGGGGGTATATTGGGAATCTTGGTGATGAAAAATGAGTATTGGTGAAGGGAGAGGTGTTTGATCATTGTGTAACCAAGACTTAAACCTGAAAGCTTAGTAACTTTTCCCACAGTGATTCAATAAATAAATATAAGAAGAAAAAATAATAAATAAATAAAATTATGAAAAAAAAGTAAGATGGAGTTCATGCCCAATTCAATCAGCTAATCAGTGGCTGAATAAATAGCAGTAGTCCTACATATATATATGTATATATATATATATATATATATACATATATATATGTAGTGTGCCCTCACAGCAGGCCTGGCAAGCTACCCGTGACATATTTGATATGCCAAACACAGTAACAACAAGTCTCACAATGGAGACGTTACTGGGCCCGTTCTAGCAAATGGGTGAACAACAGGAGGACAGTGACAGTGACATATCATCTTTATTCTAAACAGAAAACAATCAACTTGTGAATGGATAAAATAAATTGTGGCTTAAGTACACAAAGAAACACCACTCAACAATAAAAAACACATCAGATATTAAAACAATACTTGATATTGTTAAAATGCATTATTCTAGGTTTAAAAGAAACGTGGAACAGAAGTAGAAAATTCCATGCTATTTCAATCCACTTAAGTAAAATTTTAAGAAAGTTACAGTTATACATCAGAAAGCAGATGATGGTTTCCAGGTTGTACAGGGGAGATTATGCTGATAGAAGGGGGCACCACAGACTTTTTTTGGTTTTTTTTTTTTTTTTTTTTTGGTAATGAGATTCTTCTATGTAACATGTAGAAATGGCTAGGACCAACAGTTTTGGTTTGTTTATTTTTTTAAATGAGCCCTATTACAGAAACATTCACAGAGAGAACTAATTGAATCCAGTAGTATGTTGACAATGGACCTCTCATTTGAAGAGTCATTGTTTTGTACTCACAAGATTGGGCTCATGGCATTTTCATTTTTATTGTGGGAAAATGTTTTTATATGTGTTCAACTCTTTGTATTAATTTTTTCCGATACCAAGAAGTGATAATTTAATAAATTTAGAAGATGGTCTGCTGAAATCTGAATTACAGTGCTAGCAGGGAGAAAAACCTTTCAGAAATGAAAGTGCTCCTATATGATTATCTTTGCAAAAGCACCTTTAAGTAGTGTTCAGTAATATTGCAGTCTCTGTTACTGCCAAAGTACACAAGTCAATGAATGAAGGGATACAGGTAGAGGGATTCATTTGATTATTATATCAAATAATGGTCCCTGAGAAAATTTTGCTATTTGACCTTTACATTCTTGGACTTGATTGATTTAAGATTCCAATTCCCAAATAATATATATGTTCAGTATGCTTTTAGATCTCTCATAGTTTTAAGGAACTTAACAAACTCTGTTATATTTCATATTGTATAAAATACAATATGATCTTCATATTATTGAGCTATCATGTAAATAAGAATGTCACTCTGATAGTCCAAAGGACTGATCATATTTCAAAAAGAAAATTGGCATGCTGATAAACATAAGGTGGACTAGAGTGAAATTTCAGATTGTCTTAGAGTATTATCCCCAAATATTGTAAAGCTATAGAAACATATTTTTTAAAGGGAACATCAATGATTCAGACATTACAGGAGAGATGTATGTTACCCCACAAGATATAGAGCCCAAGCCAGGTGAATTGTTAGAAAAAGTATTAGAAAACCATTAAAGAATATAAAGTAAAAATATCTGATATCAATTTAGGCCTGATTACCAGATTAAAACTTATTTAACAACTGTGATTCATGTTCATTGAGAATTTTTCTTTTCTCCAGCAAATGTTTTATTGTAAATATTTCTAGTGGACAATATTATCTTCAATTACAAGTAGAAATTTGTCCTAATTGATATGAGTTTAAAACCTTATTTTAAAAATGTAGTAATAAAAGCTCTAATAATGGAACTTCATAAATTTTTTGTTGGAAATATGAATTAATCACTGGCCAAAGGATGACTATAAGGCTATGGTGATACCAAACTATGTTGGACAACATTTGCTGTTTGTCCATTCAGGTCCATCCTCTGCTCATTCTACACTCATATGTGCCTAATAAAGCTGTCCTGGCCTATGTGTACTGTACCATTTAGGTTTCCTGGAGATCTCAGGATTTTAAAATGGAAAGCAATACTAAGAAATTATATAGGAACTTGCAATGTTTATTCCCTTCACTCTCTTTTCCCTGCATAAGTAAATCCAAAGTTTTTATCTGATGTAATAGAAATAAATCTACTCTCTTAAATTCTAGTTATAGGATTCTCTAATTCAGGGTTTGGTGATAACTTCTTATTCAACTCATACTTTAGGACACCACTATTTTTTGTTTGTTCTAAATTCTTTCATTAATTTTTAAAGATGCATATCCTGATAAATACCTGAGTGTCTTATAAAAAGTGAGGTGCACAACCTAGTTTATACATTCTTACTCATGTTCATTGTGTCCTTGCTATAAACCACATACTTGAGACATACATGCAAGCACCTTTGCATACACATACCCATGCAGAGTCTAATTCATAGTAAGGTATTGTGTCATAATAGTGCGTTTTGTACTAATTGATGATACAAAGATATTTATGTGCTAAGAATAAGAGTGAAATTAGTTTCTGATAAATACATATTAAGAAAACAAACTAAAATGATTCCATTGGTTTCAATGATGATAAAATGTAAACAAATAATTTTCACTAGTTTAATTCTTAGATGCCAAAAAAAAAACAGAAGTTAGAAGTAGATTCCCCTCCAATTATATATGTCCATGAACTATTTTCTCCTTGAATTTCTATCTCCCTTCTACAATGGAACTTCATGACTGAATATCAGTGAGAGAATACAGTCCCAGGACAACAATCATACCAGTATTATTGAGAAAGTCTCATGATTTTCAAGGACCCAAGAGATTCCGTCAATGGAAAAATCCAAGCCTACATGACAAATTCTTTGTGGTGACTTTCTTCAGAGCTCCTTTCACATCCTTGTTCCTCAGGCTGTAGATGATAGGATTAAGCATGGGGGTCACCATTGAATAGAACACAGACACTAGTTTTTCTTGTTCCTTGGAAGATTTGGGAGTCATATAGGTGACAATTCCTGACCCATAAAACAGGATGACCACTATGAGGTGAGAACCACAGGTAGAAAATGCTTTCAATCTCCCTGTAGTTGACTTCATCTTAATGACAGTCACAATGATGTGGCCATAGGATACCAGAATTAGAGATACAGGTATGAGGAGAACTACAACCCCCAAGAGGAAAATAACCATCTCTGTGGTATGAGTGTTTGTGGATGCCAAAGTCAGCAGTGCAGGGGCCTCACAAAAGAAATGAGAAATAGTATTGCTCCCTCGGTAGGGTAACCTTAGTGTGAAGGTGCTGTCTACCACAGATCCAAGTATGCCAGTGGCCCATGATCCTGCAGCCAGCTGGACACACAACTTCCATGTCATGATGGTAGAGTAATGCAAAGGGTTGCAGATGGCCACATACCGGTCATAGGACATCACTGCCAGGAGAACACATTGTGTGCAGCCCAAAATAAGGAAGACTAGAAGCTGAACTGCACAACGTGTGAATGAAATGACCTTCTTCTTGGATAGAAGGTGAACTAGAGCCTGAGGAACGATGTTGGTAGAGAAACAGAGGTCAGCCAGAGACAAGTTGCAGAGAAAAAAATACATGGGTGTGTGAAGCTGGGAGTCAATCCAAATTAGAGACATGAGCAACAGATTTCCAAGCACAGTGACCAGGTACACAACCAAGAATAAGACAAAAAGCAGCTTCTGAGTGTAGGGGTCATCAGAGAGTCCCAGAAGGAAAAATTCTGTCACCTGAGTCTGATTTGTTTCTCTCATACTTTATTTCTTTTTCAAGTAAGAAGTTACAATATTCTAAACAAAAACTGATAGCCTATACATATACATATATGTAATATGTTATATATGTAATTCAAAGCAAGCAAATTAAGTATCACCCCCAATCACTGCCAATCATTTCAAGAATATTTTATAATGTATTTAGAGGAAGAGCATGCTGTTTAATTCGGAAATCTTCAATGTTGCATAACAGTATCTTGTAAAATGATTTATTGATTTCTTGAGTCATCTGGCAAGTTAAGGGGAGATCAAAAGAATTATCCTTATTCTGAATCTCATATTTCTAACAATCAAATTATAAACTAAATTTTCTAGAAAGCCATGACATTTACACTTGATTATAAACTAAAAGTCTTGATTTGTTTGCTGTTTTTATCAGTATCAATATCCTCTATGATACTCTGTGTAGAATTTTGTAAGCTTTGGGAATACAACTGTTTATGTTATCTTTCCATAAATTGTCACTAAGGTATAGAAGTCAAAAAAAATAAGTGTATCATGCAGCTTGACATTTTTCTTTGAGAAAATAACCTATTTTTTTAAAGCCTGAAAAACAAGGGGCTGCTGGGAGATTACGCCATTATTTCTTTGACAATCCTATCATCAATTTCATTTGATACTTTGTTGTGATATATTTTCCTGATTCAGGGGTAAACAGTTGTTTACTCTACTGTCTTATATGCATCATCTCCCCAAGTCTTGCTTTACTTGCCTACTCTGAGCAATAAAACAATCTTCTGAAAACTGTCAGTCTGTTTCATTTTTGTGTCCTTCCTTAGACATATTAAAGCACTTTGCTCAATAAATTATTATTAATTAAACTAATTGTTAATATTATCACACTTAAAAGTATTATTGAACTGTCTCCCATGCTGAGTGAGACTCTACCCCACTGCTGTTCGTGATTCCTCATGTCACAAAAAAGTGTGAAATCTTGCTACCAAGTGTGTATGATCACCAAAATTAAAGTATATATCATCTTTGGCTGCATTGTAGCCAAAATGTCATTGTTTACCCCTATTACTGTAACTACAAAAACAAAGAGAATGGAATAAAGAATATAGAATAAATTAAAAATCAAAATAAAATCTAGAAAAATTAAAATAAATTTACCACGATATATGCCAGTTATCACTTTTTAACTGTAGTTTTGTTTTGCTTTGTTTTTTTCATTCCAAAATTTTCTGATTCAGTTGTGAAAAGATCCAAAATTAGCCTGTCAAATTTGATTTGTACCTCAACTATTAGAACAGAAAATGTATTACCTATAGAATAGTCAGAGTGGAGAGACTGTCAGCCAAAGAACTTAGTAAATTCTTTTGAAATCAGGACCAAAGATAAAGCAAGAGAGCTGTTCATACCTCTCAACTTCTCTTTCATCAAAAGTTTTATCATTGGCCTCATTGTCAGTGAACAAAGATCCATTGTTTAATAATAGTTACATTTAAAATGAATTTAACAGGGGATACTAGAGGCAATCTCTGGAGTTTCTGACATGCTCTGGAGAATTCTGAATCATTAAAGTGGATCCTGCATTGCCTCAAAAGGGTCTCAGGTGATTAGAAAGAGGACAGCAAATGCCAAGCAGTTAGTTAACATTTGCCTCGCCACTTATGGGTTCCTTCACCAGTTCTTCTTATACGTATTTTCTTTCTGAAGAACTTGCACTCTTTTAATTAATTTCATTTATGGAGGGGGAAAAATTGTAGGTTACAACCAAGATTTGTAATGTACCTTGGATTTTTAGGAATTTCATATTTAGAATGTGATTATGATGTTCCTCGTTGATAATAGATTCTCCAGATATTAGTATTTTAAACAATCTCTTCTGCTGATTTGACTTTGTTTTTAAACGTGTTTTTTTAAATTTTTAAACGTGTTTTTTTAAATTTTTATTTCTATTCCTACACACAGTTTATTATTTTAATAATGTGACAATAAGCTATAAACATAGTACCCAGAACATACAAAATTTTCAAATTAAAACAAAATTAGAAAATTACATTTTATTGTAAAAATAAATCTATAATATCACATGGTCACAGTCCTCCGGTTGTTCATCGATTTGCTCGAGTGGGCCCAGTAATGTCTCTATCATGAGATTTGTTGTTACTGTGTTTGGCATGTTGAATACGTCACGGGTAGCTTGCCAGGCTCTGCCGATGGGCGAGATACTCTCGGTAGCTTGCTGGACTCTCTGAGAGGGGCGGAAGAATCGAACTCGGGTCAGCCATGTTGGCTGCTTGTAAGGCAAATGCCCTACCACTGTGCTATCGCTCCAGCCCAAATATATAATATATTCCAATAGTATACATAAAAAACTAATAAGCATATAAATAGGTTCCCAATATAATTAGCTATATATAAAATATAAAATTAAAATCTATGTGAAACGTGACTAATCTATTAAAAGTATTAAATGAATGGGGAAGGAAGTGATTTATATTGCTGAGAGAAAAATATATGGGTACAACTAATTCTGAGATCTATTTAAAAGTATCATTGAGCTAAACATAAATATATGTATGTATATAAATTCATAGATCACATTAATTTTGATCCAGTATATTTATTTCATAAACTGGATATTTATATCCTCTCAAAATCCTTATATAAGATGTATATAATAGTTTTATTAATATTAGGCAAAAGATAGAAACAGTATGAACTTTTGTGCAGAATACTCAATAGTATAGTGTGATATTACAGAGTGGCTATATGGATCAAGAAACAAAATACAACACTACACTCACTATAATATCACTCAAACTATCACAATAAGCACCGTCTCAAGGTGAAAGTTTGGAAAACAACTATACTGACTAATCATAGACTAAGGAAAGCAGATTATACCAAACTTGTATCAGACCGAATAGTAGTGTTTAAGTTATAGAACTTAGTAAGAGATAGGCATGGGCATTATGTACTGGTTTAGAGATTAATACATCAAGAACACTTAACTCTAACATATATGTGTGTGTGTGTGTGTGTGTGTGTGTGTGTGTGTACTAACAAAGTGGCAGCAAGTTATATAAAGAAGTGCTAATAGTGCTTAGTAGATACATCAACAACAACATAATTGTTGGAGACATTCTCATTATATGGATAATCTGTGCACCAAGGAAAAAATTAACCTAAATGAGAAGTTAGAAGAATTGAGAAGTGATAGCACAGCAGGTAGGGCATTTGCCTTGCATGAGGCCCACATGGCCAACCCGAGTTCAATTCCTCCACCCCTCTCGGAGAGCCCGGCAAGCTACTGAGAATATCTCGCCCGCAAGGCAAAGCCTGGCAAGCTAACCATGACGTATTCGATATGCCAAACACAGTAACAAGTCTCACAATGTTACTGGACCCGCTTGAGAAAAATCGATGAACAGTGGGAGGACAGTGACAGATTTGTATAGCATTATCCACCCCCAAAATGATGGATATGTGTTGGTTCCAGCACACATGGAATATTATTAGTAGTAGCACACTAGGTGGGGCACAATTTGAGTGTTTAAAATTTGTAAACATGTCATTCATATCTAGTAATCTTTTCAAACCACAATGCCAAAAGGTAGAATTTCACTGAAAAGAATGCCAGTAAAGTCTCCAACATCTAGAAACTAAAAATAGAGCATTAGAAAACAAGAGGATTAAAACAGAAATCAAATAAGAAAGTAAAAGTTTCCCTAAAACAAATAATAATGAAGAAAAAAACTATCTGAACCATGGGACACAGCAAGAATAGCACCAAGAGACAGTTCATAGCAATAGTCTTTTATCAGATAAGAAAAAGATCAAATGTAAGTTTAACCTTATAGCTTGCGAAAGAGAAACTTGTAAGAGAGCAAGAAATTATTTACAAGGCAAGTTAAATAAATTAAATAATAAAAATATAAACAAAATTAAGATTATAGACAAAATATATATTAAAATGGTAAATGAAAAGAAAACTTCATTTTAAAAGAATAAACAAGATTGACAAAACATTCATGAGAAAATAAAAGAGAGAAATACCAATACATCAAATGAGAGATAAATCACAACCTATGTTGGAAATATAAAAGATCCAAAGTTGTTACTTTGAGGAACTTTATTCCATTAATATAGAACACCAACAAGAAATGAATGTATTTATAAAATCATATAATCCCCAGCAACTTAGTCAGGAGGAACCTGAACAAGCCATCACAAGTAAAAGAATCAAAATAGTAGTTTTATTTTTTTTGTTTTAAGTTTTTAATTTTGTTATTATTGAGTAACCATGAATCACAAAATTATTCATAAATGTATTTCAGGCATACAATGTTCCAACACCAATCCCTTCACCAGTGTCTACTTCCCTCCACCAATGTTCCCATCTTCCCTCCCGTCCTTTTCCCTGGCCCTGTGGCAGATGCTATTCCTTCCCCTTTAGGCACTATTGTTTACAATACTGTTACTGATGATGTATCATGCATATCACTTTACCATATTTAGGCACCTGGTCCTACACCAGAATAACTTCTTCCCTCCACCATTGTCTTAATGTCCCCTTCTTTTAAATTTATTTATCTATCTATTTATTTATTTTCTACACAGCTGTTCATGATTGAATTTCAGTTTACAGTATTCCAACACCCATCCTTCCATCGGTGTACATTTCCCAGCACCAGTGTCCCCAGGTTCCCTACCATCACCCTCCGCCCCCTCCCCCATCCCCTTCCTGCCTCTGTAGTGGGCACTTTTCTTCTCTCTCTTAGTGTCCACTTATTTTACTTATCCCTTTCCTCACACAGTGGCAAACTTTCAACTGAAGACCAGTTCTCATGTTCTTTGTTTCTATTGCTTTTGGACCTTTGTTATTTCCTTATTATGTTTCTTTATATACAGCACAAGAGTTATCATTCTGTCTTTGTCAGAGCGAGAGAGACAAACAGACAAAAATGCACAGTTTTAAATCTTCCCAACACAAATACCAGATCCAGACGAGTTTACTGTTGAGTTCAACCAAATCTTAAAAGAAAAGTAACTGCCTTATACCTCAGGCTCTTCTAAGATAATCCTTCCTAACATCTTATATAAATCCCTCATAACCCTAAAATCAAAAGGAATCATAAATATTAGAAAAGAAAATTTCAGGGCCGGAGCGATAGCACAACAGGTAGGGCGTTTGCCTTGCATGCAGCAGACCTGGGTTTGATTCCCGGCATCCTATATGGTACCCTGAACAGCGCCAAGAGTAATTCCTGAGTACAGAGCCAGGAACAACCCCTGAGCATCGCCGAGTGTGACTCCCTCCCCCCCCCCAAAAAAAAAGCAAAACAAAAAAAGAAAAGAAAATTTCAAACAGAGATGCATAGTGGAAACATACTGGGTCCATAAAAAAGAAAGCTCCAGGCTAAGACCCCTGATTAAATTTGGTGCAAATATCCCCAATTGACTCCAAAAGCATAACAAAAGTATTATATAACATGATCAAGTGTAATTCTTTCATGGATGCAAGGACACTTCATTATGCTGTCCATCAATGTTATAAACTATATCAACAAAAGGGCAGACGAGAAACATAAGATCATATAATTAAATGCAGAAAAACTTTTGACAAGATTCAGTATCCATCCAGGATAAAGATTCTCAATAAATAATCAATAGAAGGAATGTATCTTCATATGATTTGCTATTCATTTACTATTCATCATCCAATTTAACTTTCAATAATATTTTGTTCTGTTTTATTTAGAAAAATATTGTTTTATGTGATTTATATCTGTGGACTGGAGTGATAGCACAGTGGGTAGGGCATTTGTCTTGCAAGTGGCCAACATGGCCAACCCGAGTTCGATTCCTCTGCCCCTTTCAGAGAGCCTGGAAAGCTACCAAGAGTATCTTGCCCTCACGGCAAAGCCTGGCAAGCTACCCGTGACGTACTTGAGATGCCAAACACAGTAACAATTGTCACAACGGAGACGTTACTGGACCCACTCGAGCAAATCCATGAACAACGGGAGGACAGTGACAGTGACAGTGATTTATATCTGTATTCATGATGAGTAATGTTTGTTACCTTCTCTTCTTACAAAGTTTTTATCCTGGTATTGATATCAGTTTAATCTGTTTATAGAAAAATTGGAAACTACCCAGTTTTCTTCAATTTTTGTGAATTATTGATATTTTTACCTTAGATATTTAGTTGTGGGCACTTAAAACAATTGCATTGAATTTGAATTTATCTAGGGTGGATGATGATGATGATGATGATGATGATGATGATGATGATGATGATGATTTTTACTTATTGGGCCACACCAGGCCATACTTAGAGTTTATTCCTGACTTGATATTCAGGGATCAATCCTGATAGTGTTCGGATAGTGGGGTGATACTTGGTGATGGAAATCCAACCCTTTGTGTAAAAAGCAAGTACCTTGGCCTCTGAATTATGTCTCTAGACAAGGTTTGGAGCTTTTATTGTCTTATGGTCTTTCAAGTACAATTTTAATTTCCTTAATCAATTGAGAGCTATCACAATTATACATTTACAGTTGAATAAATTTTAGAAAAGCGTATCTTCCAAATATTTTAACCATCAATTTAAATTGATGAATTTATTGGTGAAGGATGTGCACAATAATCTCTAATTATTATTTGACTGTTCATTAAATTGTTAAGATGCAACCTCTGCTTTTTCTTGCTCTTTATGCTTTTATTTCTCATCATGTATGATTACCACTGATTTGATTCTTGTGCTTCTCACAAAACTCTGGAAATATAGTGACTGGAGGAATAGTAAAGAGAACTGTGTTGGAAATGTAGAGGATTCTCTTAGAATGTCATCCCTATAGTATTGGGAAACTGTCTAAATGAAATTTCAAAAGGAATCACCAGTGACTCAAATACTGAGGGAAGAAGCTGTATGTCGCAGCACTAGATACTGAGCCAACTAAGGTGTTTACAGAAAATTTTTAAAAAGAAAACATGAAAAAGTACTAAAAAGAAAATCTCTCATTATCAGTTTAGACCTTTTGCCCAGATTAAAAAATTAGATAACTTCTGTAATTGCTGCTCTACTGTATTAGTCCCTTTTTCTAACAAACATTTTAATGTAAGTTTTTCAGGTGAAAACTATTGCTTTTAGTATTGAGTACAAGTGTGTCCTTTTTGTTACCACAGTTTTAAAAAAAAGTTGCTTAAGAAGGTTTGACAATTTCATATGTTGGGGATGTGAATTAATCACTGGACAAGTAGTAAGTGGATACTGAGAGCAAAGAGGAGTGTTCTACACTTGCTATTTATTTACCCTCTCAGGTCCTTCATCCCTGTTTATTTGGGCTATACAAGTCCCACAGAAAGCTATCTTTTAGTTATACACTTATTGTTTCCCTTAGTCTCTGGATTTTAATCGAAAGATAGTGCTAGGATATTTAAAAATGGTTAGAGAAAAAACTTGCATTAACTTCCTCACATTCATACTCCTAAGTCCACAGCTCCTGGTTTGTGGCCTGTGATATACAATTATTCTAAATTCCATTTACAAATTCTTAAAATGCAGTATTTGGTGATGACTTCTTATTACCATGGGATATCACAATTTTTTATTCAATTTCCAAATCTGACTATTTATAGTATGGTGTCCTATTTATAATGTTATGAATATTTTGTATTTTGAATAACTCTTATGTCTCTAACAAAAATGTGAAAGGGACAACAGAGCACATAAGTTCTTATTCGGGTTCATTGTCTCTGTAATCAAAATGATCAACTCAAACACATATATGCAGGCACATGTGCAAGCATATATATACTTAGACCCTACTTCATTACAAAATAAAAGAGCTGATTATTTCTGGTGAAAATAGTGATGAAAATATTTTACATGTTCTAGAGACTTTAAACTGTGAATAAGTTATTCTCTGGGGTTAGCAATTCATAGTATCCAAAAACACTAGAATCAGTAAGCAGACACTTCTTCTATAATTTAATTCCATAAAATATTGCCATTCTGAATATACATAATACCTCAAAAATAAAACTTTAGGAAAATATCAATAAAATAACAGGTCAGGAGCAACAAGCATACCATATTCAGTCTTAGTCTTCCAAAGAACAAGGAGAATCTATCAGTGGAAAATTATAAGCCTGCAAGGAAAATTCTTTGTGGCTATCTTCTTCAGAGCTCCTTTCACATCCTTATTCCTCAAGCTGTAGATAATAGAATTAATCATGCAGGGAACCATTGTATAGAACACAGACATCACTTTTTTTAGTTCTTTGGATGATTTTGGTGTCATGTAGGTGAGAGTTGCTGATCCATAGAAGAGAGTAACCACAATGAGATGGGAACCACAGGTAGAAAATGCCTTGAGTCTCCCTGCAGCTGACTTCATCTTGACCACAGTCACAATGATATGTCCATAAGATACCAGAACTAGAGAAACAGGGATGAGGAGAATGACTACCCCCATGAGGAAAATAACCATCTCTGTTGTATGAGTGTCTGCGGATGCCAAATCCAGCATGGCAGGGGCCTCACAGAAGAAATGAGAAATTGTATTGCTCCCTCGGTAGGGTAACTTTATAGTGAAGGTGCTGTCCATCACAGATACAAAAATGCCACTGGTCCATGATCCTGCAGCCAGCTGGACACATACCTTCCATGTCATGATGTTAGAGTAATGCAAAGGGTTGCATATGGCCACATATCGGTCATAGGACATCACTGCCAGAAGGACACATTGTGTGCAACCAAATATAAGGGACAGTAGAAGTTGAACTGCACAACGTGTGAATGAAATGATCTTGTTCCTGGATAGCAAATGGGCTAGAACCTGAGGTACTATGATGGTCGACAAACAGAGATCATCCAGAGATAAGTTACAGAGAAAAAAATACATGGGTGTATGAAGCTGTGAGTCAATCCATATTAGGGACATGAGCAGCAGATTTCCAAGCACCGTGACCAGGTAGACAAGCAAAAATAGGGTGAACAGCAGCTTCTGGGTGAGAGGGTCATCAGAGAGTCCCAGAAGGAAGAATTCTGTCACCTGGCTTTGATTTGTCTCTCTCATACTTTATTTAGCCTTTTTAAGTTAGATGTCACTATTTGCTAAACATGGATACGTATAACACTCCAAAAATTATAGAATTCAATTACAGAAGTTAGGAAACACCTCCATTTAGTACTAATCATTTCAAGAATTTTCTTTATAAGGTTTTGGGAGGAAGACTATACTGTGCTGTTTCTTGAAACATTTTTAATAATATAAAACTTAACATTTGGTAAAATGATATTTCTGGTATAATATTGCAAGCAGGATATCAAAACAATCATCTTCCTTTTACTCAATATCACACTGAGAATCAAACAATAAATTGAATTCAACTTTAAAGTGTGTCATCAAAATTCACTTTTCTCTCAACTGACACTCTTTCTCAGGCTCTCATAGTTCCTGCATGTCATACTGGTGTAGATTTTGTAACTATTTGCACATACAACTATGTCTTCCTTGAAAGTGTAACTAAGGTATAGAAACCAAAGGAACCTACGCACTTGGCATTTTTATAGTTTTCTTGAAGAAAAGACACATTTTAAGGAAGTGAGAAAACAAGAGGTGATCCTGAAGAGTGTAAAATTATCTCTTTGACAATTCTATCACCAGCTTTATTTGGCATTCATAAATATATATACATATATAGTATATATAAATGCATCTTAGTGGTTAATAAACTACAACAATAGATTACAGACAATTGCAACTTAATTTCTATATTAAAGTAGCAGCTTGGCTACATATCTAAACAAGATAAATGACAGTACTTGGCCATATCCTTAAAGATAACATTCTTGCTTTACCTGCAAACTACCAAAAGCAGATTCTTTTTGAAAACTCTTTTACAATTATGTATCTTTTATTTGATATATCAAAGTTCTTTTTTCAATAAATTATTTTTAGATTAAACAACCTTTGCAATGTGATCATATTGGGTCACATGCTGAGTGCAAAACCTTTGACAGTTCTATTCATGATTATTTGCATTTCAAAGAAGTGTGCCATCTCAGAGCTGTTACCAAGCATGGAAGAGCACCAAAACTATTGTATACTATCCTCATTGAGATCTGCAACCAGTGTGTGATCAGCCCCGTAAATACAACAAGAAGAATGAAAAGTGACATTGATGTGATGTAAATTAAAATTTTAACTAGAGGAGATTAAAATCAATTTACTTCACCATATACTGGTTTATCCTTTCTTCATTGAACTTGCACCTTCTCTTTCCCTTTTCTACAACCTATTTCTCATATTCTGAAGAAAGAGATATCAAGTTAGTATGTCAAAAACATTATAGACTTCCACTATTAGAGAAAAAACCGCAGACATACTTGATACTCTACTTGCAGAGTAGGAGAGACTGCAGACACCCTATCTCCTAGTGAGAGAGCTCAATAAAACATTGGGAGTCAAGATCAGGAACAAAGTAAGTAGATTTTTCATACCACTCAAGTCCTACCGTTCTATCCCAAAGTCTTCTCACTGACTTCATAGCACATTGTTCAACAATAGTTCCATTTAAATGAGGTGAACAGGGGGATACTAGGAGCAGCCTCTGGAGCTGCTAGCATGCTCTGGAGAATTCTGAATCATTACAGTGGATTCTGAGTTTTGTCTCCTTTCTGAAGGGTCCCAAGTGACTACAAACATGGCATAACATGCACTTAGAATGTACATCTCCATTTATGAGCTCTTTCACCAGCTCTCGTAGTTTTCCTTTTCAAGGAAATAGTGCAATGCTAGAATTAATAATTTGGTTTTTATGAAGAAAATATACTAGGTTACAACTCAGGTACATAACGTACTCTTCATATCATTGAAGCATTTTGTCATTTTAGAACACACATGTAATGTTCTTCAGATGATACTGGATTCTCCAGTTATTGGCATTTCAACACATTTTCCTTATATTTGTCACTTTATGCACATGCTGTTAGATGGTAAACTAAAAATACAATTCCCTTAAGAAATAATAAATTTCTATAACTAAACAAGTAAAATTTTTGAAATGCCATATACTTTATGAAATTTAGAATATTACACTTAGAATAAAAAATACAAATAACTCTAAACATATAAAAATATGCACAACATAATTATTTGAATATTTGAATTAAAAATCACTCTGAAATATTATTAAGCTTCTTCCAAAAGAAAAGTGCTTAAGGAATCAAGTAGTTGATATTGTTGATGTGAGCATAAATTGATGCAAATAATTCCAAAAGTTATTTGAATTATCTATGAACTGGGTGCCTGTTTACATTCCAATAACACAATAATTTCACTGTGAACTATATGCTACATAACAATAAGTATTTATATCATCTATATAGTGTCACTGTCACTGTCCTCCCGTTGTTTATCAATTTTGCTCAAGCGGGCCCAGTAACATTGTGAAACTTGTTACTGTGTTTGGCATATCGAATACATCACGGGTAGCTTGCCAGTCTTTGCTGTGAGGGTGAGATACTCTTGGTAGCTTGCTGGGCTGTCCAAGAGAGGTGGAGGAGTCAAACTCAGGTTCGGCCGTGTCGGCTGCGTGGGCTGCATGCAAGGCAAATGCCCCACCCCCTGTGCTATCCCTCCAGACTATATACTGTATAAAATGAATATTTGTATAAAACTGACGTAAGGATCCTTCTAAATCATATATACAGTATAAAATGATATCTTTATATTTATACATAGTAGAAACTATATAACTTATTTAAAACAATATAAATATTAAATAGTGATGGTTTTATAGTGTGATAAGCGATAGCATAGCGGTAGGGCGTTCGCCTTACAAGCGGCCAACATGGCCGACCCGAGTTCGATTCCTCCGCCCCTCTCGGAGAGCCCGGCAAGCTACCGAGAGTATTGGATATGCCAGACACAGTAACAACAAAGTCTCCAATGGAGACGTTACTGGGCCCGCTCGAGCAAATCGACGATCAACGGGAGGGCCTTTACCTTTACCTTTACCATTAAATAGTATTTTTTAAAAAACTATTACTACATAGAAACATTACCAAACACATAGAACTATCTCACAAAATGGTTAGAAAAAGAAATGTTATTCTACAAATAAGCATTTGCTAAATGATTCCATTTATTTGATGCTCAAGATAAAATAAAGCGAATTTACATTTTTAGAATTCTAAATAATGGTTGGTTATCTGAAGCTTCATTGATTTGAAGTTGACAATAAATCTTTGTATTTGCTGGAAATATTCTAATTATGACTTGTTAATGCTTATTAAGATGTATATACATATAAAAATGTCTTGAGTCTTACTTAAAAATGTTTCACATTGGGCTGGACCAATAGCACACCAGGTGGGGCATTTGCCTTACACACGGCCAACCTGGGTTCGAGTCCCAGCATCCCATATGGAGCCCTGAGCACCACAAGGAGTGCTTCCTGAGTGAGAGCCAGGAGTGACCCCTGAGCATCGCTGGGTGTGACCCAAAAAGAAAAAAAAAGGTTCACATTAGTATATCTAATGATTTATTTAAAGGGAGAAAAACAGAAAATTAAATTCAGCATTTAATTCAAAATCTGGAGATACCGAAAGGCCTCATCTAAAACATAAGCAACCACATTCCTCACAAATGCATAACAACAAATTTCCTCATTATCAACAATCCCTCCAAACATAAACTTACACAGTATTACTGGTTTTTATGTAATACTTTATGATATAAAATCTGTAGTCCCTTTTTAATATAAACACACTTTTTATGCTTATTCAAGTTTCCCCTTAATTTTTTTTAATTCTCTGGTGCCAGAGCTATAGCATAGCACGTAGGGCCCTTGCCTTGTATATAGCTGATTCTAGTACAATCCCCAGAACCCCATATGATTCCCCAGAACCTGCCAAGAGTAATGCCTGAATGCTGATCCAGGAGTAAACCCTGAGCACCTCATACCTTGAGTAAAGAGTAAATAAAATTAAAATGTATTAATTCTAAAAGAGCAAATAAAATTAAAATGCATTTATTCTCTTCCACACACTCATAATAAATTGTGTACTTGCAGCATTTATATATTTTTATGCTAATTTTGAATGTTACAGCCAGGGTTTACTCCTGGATCAGCATTCAGGGATTACTCTTGGCAGGTTCTGGGGTCAGCTGTATGCAAGGCAAGGGCCCTACCTGTTATGAGGAATTTGGTTGCTTACGTATTCTGGATATTGTTTTGCATGTCCTGATAAGAGGGCAGGCATGCTGGGTGGTTGGGAAATGGGAACATGATGGAGGGAAGGTCACTCTGGTGGTAATATTGGTATTGGAATATTGAATGCCCGTAACAACTATATTAAGAGCAACTTTGTAAGCCACGGTGTTAAAATTAAGGAAAAAATAAAAACTAGAACTGATAAGTGAATACAAGTTTGAAGAATACAAAACAATATACAAAAAACTGTTGACTATTCAAAGCAACTCTAATATTCATTGCTTTAAACTAGAAACAAATTCCACCAACTTGTGAATAGATGAATAAAACGTAGCTTATTTATACAAAATCATACCACACAACAATAAAAACCAGCAGACTTTATTAATTTATTTATTTCTTGCTTTTCGGGTCACACCCAGTGATGCTCAGGGGTTATTTCTAGCTCTGCACTCAGGAATTACTCCTGGCAGTACTTGGGGGACCATATAGGATGCCAGTGACTAAGCCCAGGTCAGATGCAAGGCAAACACCCTACCCGCTATACTATCACACCGGCTCCCAGCAGACATAATGTAATAAAACAATTACTTGTTATTGTTAAAAGCAAATTATAGGTAAAAGTGCACAGAAGCCGAAGATTCCATGTTGTTTCATTTCACACAAGTTAACTTTTAAGAAAGGAACAAACACAGAGACAGAAAACAGATCAGTGGTTTACAGGTGGTAAGGGGAAGATGGAAAGGGGCACCACAGAGATTATTATGGTGATGAAAGTCTTCTTTGTCATGTGTGTTAATGACAAAATACCTGTTTATATTTATGAAAAATGAGTCCTGATACAGAAACATTCACCAAAAGA